CGAGCAAAGCCCAAGTAGTCGTTGGAGCAAAAGTCCACCTGGGCCGCATGAGTGGGACCCACCAATCACCAAACATGAGTGGATCCCCCGCATGGCCCCTGAAAACATGGGTTTTCGAACGTGTCAAGAACGGTAGCTACACTCCGTTGCAGGTAGAAGGCCCAGAAGGCCAAACGAGCCTTCTAAACGCTTCATGAGTTCTCCAACGCCTTTGAGGTGTGTTTTTTGGAGACTCACCAGCACGCCCACGGCAGCTTGTCCAACCCGTGGAACCTCACCTGTTGCTCTTGCCGTGTGGACAAGCTCCGCAACAAGCCTCGCTGGCGGCGCTGCTCCACCACGGCCTCGAGGGACTGTTGGAGCCCGTCCTTGGACGAAGCCGTCGTCGGTCCATTCGCCTTCAGAACATGGGTGGACCCTTGGATGCTGGTGTTGTTGGATCCTGGTTATTATTAGGGTCATCAATCATAAATTTGTGATTGTTTTTCAACAATTGTTCTTCGCCCCATGATGGGTTTTGCTGTTTTTCTTCTCCGCAACACCGGTGGAGAGATTCTGTGCGAAAAGTTCAAACGCTCTGGAAAAAACACGTTAGGTTAGGTGAAAGTGTTCAGTCAGGAATGTCCAGGTTTGACGTGCCTTGACAACCTAAACGAACCTAACCAATGCGTCATTTCAACTTGTACTCCATGAGGGTCATGTCCTGGATATTTCTGGCTAACCCATGTGTCCTTTCCCTCTTGTTTCTGGGAATTCTGCAGGAACGAGGAAAATTGCATGGACATACAGCGCCATGGAACTTCTCAATCTGTGACTCAAACACACCACAACCGTTTCCTCCGGCCTCAGCCTGCTTTCCCACCGCTTCCTGCTTACCGCTTACATCCATTGAGGCGCTGTGGTCCCGCTCGCCGTAGCTGCAGGCTGCAGGGCCGCGGGGACCCGCTCCGCCGGAGCGAGGGGAGATCCCAAGTCGAAGCGAGCGCGGAGGATGGTGCGACGACCGCTGGTCATGCGCAGCAGGAGGGTGGAGGGCATCGGCTCCCAAAGGACCGTGGTGAGGGTGTCACCTGTCGGATGTAACTACGCACGAACAGGGTACAGGCTGACAGGCTGGGGCTTGATGGAAGTCCAAAAGAGTCAACGAGTGGAAGTACAAAACTCTTTGCCTTTAAAACTGCTTGTAGGATCATGAGGAAGAACCAGCAAATACCGGACAGTTGGCAACCGAAACAAGCTCATCTGTCATAGGTCCAAGAAACTGGTGGTTCACACTTAACATGTTTCTCTCCGATCGGGGATGCTTTTGACCGGGCCATTCGCCTAGACCGGCCATGCTCAAAAACTCCAGGTAGACGGATCGAAGGTCATCCAATCTGGATGAGCCCATGGAAGCACAGGCTGCGGCATGTCTAGCATCTTGCAAATAGCTCAGCAGGACAGCGTTGTTCCTTGCCAATCACATCACTGTGGCAGAGAAACTGAGTTAACACAAAGTGAATCAACCCGGAACCCCGAAAGCAGTGTAAAAGTAAAGCTCCTTTTCAGGTGTTCAAACATTACCTTTTGAGTTGAGCTTCACATGACCGTGACCATCAAGGTCGGAGAAGCGTGGTTGGCAAACGTGCTGAAATGCCTCGGCGGGGGTTTGGTTCGCCTCATTGTCGAGCCATCGGTTGATCTCCAGATTCACCTTGCTGCACTTGGATGAATGCACATCCATTCCTTGGATGAAGTCTCCATTATCATCAGTCATCCGAACACGACAGCCTCAATCAAAACGGAACTTGCACACACAGACAAAGGACACCTCCTAGGTGCCCTGGATGCTTAGAATATGGTATATAAATATGTAATTATATATATACTGTATATATTTAGTCCAATGTTTAATCTATTTGACGATGGTCATCATTCAAGACAAAGAGTGAAGCAAACGATTTCAGGATTGCCACAAATTGCCGATCAACGTTGGTTTCCGATCAGGATGAATAAGGTGATCCATTGAGTGCCCATACACATAAACTTTCCCCATACACCTAGCTAACTCAGGAGGTTTCAAGTAAGGCGCAGTCAGCTGAGTCAGCAACCTCCTACTGAGCTGTACCAATAGGACTTCAAATGCAACAAAATGCCAACTGACATCCACTGACCTAACCTGTAGACCAAAAGCACAACTTTGCCACCAAATAAGTCATCTTCAGACCAGTTGGTCTACAGATTATGCCACAATCTAGTCAGCAAAGTCAGCAACCAGGACTCCGTGCGGCACAGGTTTGCCCGTCTCCGGCGAAAAAACGATAATGGAGCTGGCGATGCTACAGAGCAGCTTGTGGCCCTCAGCGCCTGCAGCTGAACAAAGGAAGAACGGTAGATATATAGTTATTAAGCTATAAATATAAAAGGCTTTGCCTTAACCTGTGGCCCAACACCTTCCTTGCAATGAAAGATGTTCCAGTCATTTTCCCACATGTGGTTTGTGCAGGCTCTGACCGGCGGCACGGCAGCACTTGGGCACATCGGCGTCCAAACTGGACCCACCCAGCTGTTGCAACAACAATGCACCGATGAGCATCAACACTACGGCTGTTGGGCCAAGTCAATCAAGTCCACATGGAGCTTGCTTACATGCAGCCTGGTCACACCCAGTAAATCCATGTTCCCAAAGCTTCAAAGTTTGTGTTTCGCTTGGGGTTGGGAGGCACTTTATAATTGGCCTCGCCCAATTTCACCCGCATTGCTGAAGCAAACATCCAAAAAACAATCCCAAGCGCACTTTTCCCCCCCCGGTCTTTCGCCTCCTTCCTCCAAACCACCTCAAACCAAAAAAAACACACCCACCTGGCCTGGGAGCTCGTGACACACCTGGTGCTCCAAATCCATGGAGCTCTTCCCCACGCGGGTGACCTGCGTAGAGATCTCCAGGTCAGTGCGGTAGTCCGTGCAGCGGTGGTAGCGCCGCGGCTCGTGGAAGAGGAAGAAGTGGGAGCGGATCCTCGGGTGACATGACAGATGATGGCATGGATGAAATCGGAAGACCAAACAAGGAGTTCCACTTCCATGTGGGTCGGTTCCTTCACCCCTGGAAGCAAATGCAGGATTGCAAACAGGTTCTGCAAAAGGGGTGTCTATATGGGGGGCATTTGAAGAAATTTGAAGAATGCGGCTGACACTTGTGACTAGACAAAAGGCACAAACAAGTTTAAACTGGCGGACTGTTTACAGTGGTGCCACCATTCCAGCCGGCAAGGCAAGGTTCTTTTTCCAGGCCTTGATTTAAACATGCACTGGGGGATAGCCAAAGAGCCCGTCCGTACCTTATGTGGAGAAATTGGACCCCCATGGAATTCATTAAACATAAGACACAACTTCCTCTTTTGACATCCAAAAGTCACCCAGGGAGCGTCTCCCAACTGAAAGGGATGATCGACGTCTTCCTTGCCTGCACGGAAGGACGATGGATGGTTTCTCATGGTTTATCCATCCTTTTTCTTTGACGTTTCTGGCCTAGAAGCAATGATCGAGCATGTTCCTACAACGGTCCTGTCTCGTGGTGGGTGTCTGAGCATTTGGCAGAAATCCATTCCGTTTGGGGACAAAGAGTTACAGTAACAACATGTAACAACCGCTCTCCCAGTTGTGTCAAGTCACACATTCTCCAGAATTGCCCTCAATGATGCACAACCCATGTGGTTGAGGCAGTGACCATGTGGAACCGATCTAAACTCATGGTTCAGCCATAGGGAGTTCATGGATGTCTATTGGTTTGTGGCATCTCCTTCCCCCTTTAATCGAAATATCAAGCAACATCTCTATGCATGAGGTCCCCAAATGTTTGGCAGCTAAGCTGTGACGAAAGCTCAAGCCATCCCGGAGCTCTCATTCTGCCCATTCTGAAAAACAATACCGTGACCGTGATGGCGGCTTCGCCATGACCGACGCTGTCTGACGTATCGAACGTTTCTTTCTTTTAGTGCATTGACCGTCTGACGCCCACCTGGCCCCTCTTCGAACTCTTTCGGTTCGGTTCAAAGCGATGAACCCGATCAACCCCCCACCTGACGTCGCGGTGTTGAAGTAGTAGTCCTTCGCAGCATCAGTCCACGTAGCCAAGCTACCCAAGTAGGAGGTCTGCGTGGAGCAGTTCACCCACTGCGTTTGAAGACGGTACATGGCGTGATCCGTCCGGATCCACCCCACTTCACGCCACCATCCGTGCCGTGGGCGCGGGCGCGCGGGCGCGCACGAGTTCGCGCCAGGTTGAGGCGATCACAGCTGAGGTAGGAAGTTGTGGCCAGTGTCCAGCTGCGCTAGATAAAAAGCTAGTGGTGGAACCTGAGTGGAACGTTGTAACTTGTAGGATGCCAAAGCAATCTCCGTGGAGGTTACGGTCTCCAACTGTCCAATAAGTTAGTGCAGGTTGTAAGTGCATGCTAAGTCTAGAGAAACAGTACATAGTTATACTGATACTTATATAGATGATATATGTATATATATATATGTCCTGTTGCCTCAATCCGTGTTCAATTGAAATAGGCTACCTCCACAATGTGATTGAAGGTTGCCCCACTTGTTTCTTTTTTGCATGTTACCTTGGTTGGAACCTCGGCTCTTGGAATCTTCGCCCCAGGGGTTGGCCTTCAGGAATTGGCCAGATCCATCCGAAAGCTTCCTATGTTACATAGCAGGTGCAGCATGGTGCAACATGGCGCATCATCTCGGGGAAGACTTCTTGAGAATATCCCAAGCACAACATTGACCAGCCCCATCGCCTCGACCAGCCCCATGATCCCCATGGCCTCATGGCTCACCAAAAGGAAGACCATATCATTAACAAAAAAAGGCGGCCCAATATACTTTCCTTGTCTATTGATGTCTATTGACACCTGACGCACAATGCACTGCACGGTTTGACCAGGTTTCTCCGGCCCGGCTCGGCTCCGGACGGTCGTGCTTCGCTCGGCTCCAGGGGCGCCTCGCTCGATCTGCGGCCGAGCGGCTCGCAAATCGAGCTCACTGAGCTGAAGCTCACGGTGTCTGCTCCGGGGGCGCCTGCTCGAGCTTCACGCTCGAACCGAAGCGGCTGTTGAGCTCGAAAATCAAAGGGCGCCATGCAGAATGCTTGAGATAGGATGTGGAAAAGAAGCTAGGTTGGGTTTGGGTAGGACCAGCGGAAAATACAAGGGGTGGTTGTGGTTTCTATGAGTGTTTGGAGGTGGGCCGCAGGAAAACCACGTTTTTGGTCTGCCCTCTGGTTGCTCTAGCACCCAACGCATCAGTACTGAAGCAACAGGGACCTGACAAAGAACGTGGGAGGGGAAAAAACACAAAATTGAATACCTCACACCCCTGGCCATTAACCCCTACCCCGCCAGCCCGTCTATCGTATCTATAATCCAAAACAAAGGATATATTACTCCCCAAATCTCAGCGTTCACCACTCTCCAAGACCGTTCTTCGCCCGGCTCGGGATGCCCGGGTCCCAGTCCTAAAAGCTCCAGACCACTCCTCCAACGTCCGGAGCTCCTCATGGATGCAAGCACGGAGTTCAAGACCACCTGGGAGGATTGTCTGCCATCCACTGAACATCCAGCACCCAGCAAAGAACATCAAGACCACTCGCCCCAGAAAGTTCTGCTGTGCATATGATTCTTGCTAGTCGAACATTGGGAAGTGCGTCATCTACGCATGAAGACGGTGGCACCCGGAAAGTCCGGTCCAACCTCAAGTCAACCCCAAAGCATGAAGCTGCTGCTGCTTAGGCCAAGCTGCGACGTTGATCACTGGAGCCTCAAATCAGGTTGTCCGATTGTCCACCCATCGGTGGTGGCTGATGATTGGTATTCATCCTCCACAGAATGTGCGCATCGAGGGTTTGCTTCACATCCAAACATGTGTGCTCATTATGGACATACTACTCTTGGTCTTTGCCATCGCATGTGTGGCCAAAGAATGACTGATGTTTCTGGCGGTGGCCTGGAAGTCACCCCCTGGCATCCCCAATCCTTCAGCTGAATTGGGATCTTCACCGGCCTGACCTGAGAACAACACCAGGTGGCCTGCTTATCCCACCATCCTTTTTCTTAAAGGCACGATGACACTTACCGGAAAGTGGCTCCCAACACACGACAAATCAGCGGCACCCCGTTCCTCTACAATTGAATTCGAAACGAGTACAGGGAAATGAGAGAAATCCCGCCTCGACTGAGCACGTCAAAGGATTAGAGAGGCCTAAACTGATTGCTTTAGCGATTGCTTTCTGCCCAGGAACTGAATGCTTTAGCTGCAACGCCGCTTTCCACTGCTGACCCTTCTCACAAGCAGTGGCCAGCGCGCCCAAGGTCACCTCACGGCCAAAAGGGCCGATAGAATCGGGTCAAATCGGTTGGTCCTCTCGGGCGACCAATGTCCTCCTTTTCCAATGCCTCCTCCAAACCCATGGTCATTTCCAAAATAATATACACATATATATACACAGATACACATATAAATACACATATACATATATAAGAGAGATAAATTATATAATTGTATTTGAATCTGTATGATTTGAAATGTGTGTGTGTGTGTCTGCTTGAGTGTGCTTCTTAATTGAGGATTTGTCGTGGTTCACCTTGGAGAGCGTGAACCCACAAGCAACAAGCGAAGTGGAAGAAAGTGCACGTCTTTCTCTTGCGTCCAGTTGGAAGGGTCAAACTCTACTTTACAAACCGGTGAGTGATTTTTTCACCCCACCCATGCTACCCACCCCACCCTATAACACTTAGCTATCCTCAATTCTTCAGGTGGTTGGAAACGCCTGACATTCACCTGCACAAGCAGTGCTCTACTCTGTGTCCACACCTACCAGGTCCTTTCGAAATCGCTTGAGCGCCTCCGTTGGACGCTGCGACTTTCCTTGGAGCTCGGTGAAGAAGTCCAGCGCCTTGTGGCGTCTGGCTGATCTTGCCACTTTGACTGCCAAAAGTCGTGACAAGCAAATACAGTACATGTTCTTGAAAGGAAAATGCTTGATCAATGTGTTGATAGTTGTAGCCCGTTGTTTCCATTTACTTACTGTCCTTGGACTTGCAGCCCGAGACTTGGTTATCCAATTCCATTGATATCTCCTGAGACCTCCTGATTCACAAACTCTGGCCTGCACTACTATCAGTGGGAATCCTGGAACGTCGTGGAAACCTTTCAAAAATGGCCCAAGATTGACTGGCATCCTCTTATATCTTCCTCGAGAGGTTAAGAGACCTAAACTGGGACACTTAGTGGTACATATGGGGTATGCTATAGGTATACTCTAGGGCTCTTCAACTTCTCTAACTTTGTCCACCTCCAAGCCATGGGGTTCCCCTGATCCGGGAGATGCCAGGAAGCTTTGGGCCATTGGCTGCCTCGCGCACAGGCCGCCATCGCCGAAGTGGATGTCACAATATTGGCCTGGGCCAACAACGTCGGTTCCGTAACTGAGGGCATGGACATGCTGAGCATCCAGGCACGCTCATGCATCGAGGCGCGCTGATGCTCAGCTTCCGCATCTGCTTCAGAAGTGCCAAGACCTGCTGCCACTCGCAGAGCCCCATGGCTGCAGTGAGTGTCATCACTTCGGCCTCCACGCGTCGTGAATGCCTAGGCGGGTCATGCCGAAGTGATGGGCCCAGCATGGAGGGTTGAAGCTTACAGTCGGCGCAGCCGGACTTGGAGAAAATGGGCGCGATGTAAGAAATGTAGAACAAACACAGGACATGAGACAAAAAACAAAAGAACACCATGAAGACCATCAATGGCGATCAAGCAGGTGTATAGCAATGTATAACAAAAGGGGCATGTACACAAACAGCTGAACGCCCTACTTGTCCTACATGTAAGATTTGAGTTCAAACATGAAACAGGAACACAGACACACACACAAAAAAATGTCCGATGAACAGTCTCAAATCAACAAATGATCGGACGACTCCGCCGATTCCGCACCGACATCATGCGTATGGCAGCCACCCGCACACAAGCTATAGTAATATATATATATATATGTAATGGGGCCTCCCATCTGGGGCCTCGGGGTGGATGGGGCCCCAGAAAAAGTTTTTGTTTATTCAGGGGCGGTGGACCTGCACCTGGCCAAAAATTATTCATATGTGAACACCTTTCCGGAATAATTTACAGCATTTTACAGCCATGTCTGCCTTGCAGTTTATAAGTGATCTTACACGCGTTTCAAAACACAGGTTCAGTACAACAGTGATCTTATGCGTTTTGATTCCTCCTCGTTTCCGGTCGCGTCAGGTGATCCACCACGCGGCAAAACGGCTGAACTTTTCAGATCAGCAACCCACCACGTGACTTCCAGGACGGCGAGCCCACGCCAGAAGCCAGACCCAGAAACCAAACTTGGGAGCAAACACAGAGCAGGAACCATCAGATCAGGGGTGCCAGGTCATAGGCGACCTAACCAAATCTTTGCTGTGGACTCCGAAAACTGGTCTCACGAGAAAACAGAGCTGTCAGATCTGTGGAACTGTGAAAAACGCTCTTGCGTAGGGGTGATCACATCAAAGCTGCCCTAGACTTAAATCTGCTGTCTAGAAGCGGCTTCCAGGACGGCGAGTTCACGCCAGAAGCCAGACCCAGAAACCAAACTTGGGAACTGTCAGATCAGGGCTCCTAGGTCATAGGCCCCAGCCACATCTTCCTTGTGGACTCTGAAGCTGTGAGATGTGTGACCTGAAGCTGTAGATTGTGCAAGATATGTGCCCCAAAATGGCAAATTTGCCTCCTGTTGTAGGCCACTGTTGTATCACATCAAGCCAACCCCTGGAATAATTTCAGTCCACACAGCAAGCAATGAGAGCCACCAACGACGAAATAATCCCAGCGGTGGGTTTGATGTGATCGACCTGGGAATATTTTAGCAGTTAGCTGTCTAGAAGGCAAACTTGCCCTGTTGGGGCACAAATCTTAGAGCTTCCACAAATCTGCAGCAGCTTCAGGTCACACATCTCACATCATCTCACTGCTTCAAAGTCCACAACCACGGTGTTTTTTAGGGCGCCTATGACCCAGCACCTGTCACCTGACAGTTTCTTATTCCCTGGTCTACTCCCGAGTTTTGGTGAGATCAGTTCAAAAATTTAGTGCCAAATTTGGTGTGGTTTCTTTCCTTGACTAGAATAATTCCAGGGTGAGTTTGATGTGATAGACCCTGGAAGAATTTAGCAATTAGCTGTCTACTGAGCAGAGACATACAACGTACGAAAGATCAAGAGTCTCATCAACTTGCAAAGGCCACCCCAGAGGACACCTAGGATACGGTGGCAGGGGATACATGAAAAAGTCACGCGCAGGACATTCCCAAAGGCAGTGATACAAAGTGCCCGCAGGGCCCTGGCATAACGGGCAGTTGGGTTTGGCTTTAACGTAAACTTTGTGCTTTTTCGGGTGATGCACCACAGCTTTCTGAGCAGCATCACGAGTGCTAATGAAGAAAACCATGGGACTAATAAACCCACCGCTCAGGATATTACGAATCTCAAGACAAAAGGACAGTTTCCTTGCTGCAGCACAACGGTTTGACATTCCCGAGCATCACGTCTATCAGAGGCAAGCCACTGATTATAGAGGTGGCCGCGCCAACTTTCACGCAGCAGGTGATCTAACGGACCTTGGTCAGGAATGAACTCAGGTCGCAGTGGGTGGAGGCACAGTGTGAAATTAAGCTCATCATGGCCAAAGATCCACGGGCCTTCAATCCAACCTAAATCAAGCAGGTTTGAAACTAGGGCCTTTAGAGTTCCATTTCACAGGCAAACCAACAAGGTCTCGTGCAGCACGAAAGGCGGCACGAATTTGATCAACCCCAGACATGAACCAGCATTGTGTCCTCGAAAAAGCTTGCGAAGATCAGGCGAGGCATTGAGATGCTCACCCGCAATTCGGCCAAAGAGTGTGTGCAATTTGTCAAAAAATTTCTGCGGCGGTCGTTTGACAGCCCAGCCATATTTAGCCTGCGCTCCGCTAGTGCATGTGGCAACCCGAAGCTTATCAGAAGGGCCAATGGGAAGAAACACGCATCGGAGGGCAATGCGGCAATACGACTGGCTTTACTCAGGCGTTTTTCTTCATTTGTGCTCACCTTACGCTCGGCACATTCGCAGTCTCTTCAGCCTCATCATACCACGCATCCTCTGTCACTGCTCTTCATCCTCCCAGCTGTCGTCCCACCACTCTTCCGCCAACGTGGTCTCTTCCGACACTTCATGCATCTTGCCTTTCTTACCTCCACCCTCATCTTTTCCTGACCTTCCCTCCTGGCTTGCCTCCACTCTTGCCTTTCGACTTACCGCTGCTACCTTTCCCATTCTCTTTGTCCTTGCCTTTTCCGAACTTCCCTTTGCCTTTCGATGACCCTTTCGTGGGAGAAAGTGATCCATCCTGCTTCTTGCGCTCTGGACAGTTCGCGCTCTAGAGTAACACCAAGCAAGACCGGGGTGTCAGTGATGCATTCGGCAGGGGCGATGCACTCGAGAGAATCGCGACCTTCCTTGGTGATATGGAAGAACAGCTGTTTGTTCACATTTTCTTGCAAACCTAGTCTGGACGACCAATTGTTCCAAAGTGCAACTGCCCGACCAAGGGAAGCAGCATCAGGGCACGCAAGTGTACGGTCATCAACATACAAAGTTTGGCTAACCGCCATGCATTGAGCACGCACATCAAGAAAAGGTGCAACAAGACATGCGTTCAGGCAACCATGCTCGAAGGATCACCTTGCAACAAGGCATTATGAACTTCGACATGCTGTATGTGAGTGTGACCAAGAAGCTGAAGGAAGCGAAGTTGGTTACACCACATGCTCTCAAGCGTTGACGCAATTGCTCTGGGCATACCCACTTTGTGCAGGGCATGAGTTGCGAGACCGGGATGTGTGCGATCGAAGGCAAGGCTATAATCAAGCGAGGCTCACCATTATCAACTGCGTTTAGGATATCATGCAGAGCTGTATGACAGCCACGCCCTTTGGACATAATGGTTTCCACGGGCACTGCAATGTCCACGACCACGCAAAACGGGAGAACTGCAACGGGCACGGCACGGGCACGGCACCCAGGTAGCAAGAAGGTCACAGAGACTTGGCGTTAACGCTGGGCTCTGTGTCCAGGCCCTGTCCTCCTCTTGTCCTTGTCTTGGCCGCGCCCCTGAACTCTGTTAACTCTGTGGCTGGGCTCTGTGTCCAGGCCTTGTCCTCCTGAACTCTGTCAATGTGGCTGGGCTCTGTGGCTGGGCTCTGTGTCCAGGCCTTGTCCTCCTCTTGTCCTTGTCTTGGCCGCGCCCCTGAACTCTGTTAACTCTGTGGCTGGGCTGTGTGGCTGGGCTCTGTGTCCAGGCCTTGTTCCTCGTCTTGGCCGCGCCCCTGAACTCTGTCTGGGCCCTGCGGCTGGGCTCTGTGTCCAGGCCTTGTCCTCCTGAACTCTGTCAATGTGGCTGGGCTCTGTGGTTGGGCTCTGTGTCCAGGCCTTGTCCTCCTCTTGTCTTGGCCGCGCCCCTGAGGCTCTGTGTCCAGGCCTTGTCCTCCTCTTGTCCTCGTCTTGGCTGCGCGTCCACCCCCTGCTTCTCGTACGTACAAAAAGAAACCTAAACATTGGCTCTGGCTGGGGGGAATTATATATTAAGGAAAATATGAATGGTCCATTCATCATACGATATCTTCAGCTTGCCCGCTCAAGTTCTTCCAGCACCGAAAATCCAAGGAGAGTCAGGGGCGTGTATTTAAAACACTACATGATCGCCCACCAGCGTAAAAGGTGACTGAGACCTCGCGTGGCTGCTGGATGAGCCAGAAGCCCGCAGCACAAAACGTGAAAGGCGGCCCGCCGCCCAAGGCAAGGCTGCAGCAGCTTGGCGCCGGCAGCCTGCAAGCCAGTCTATGTAGGCTCACTTGAGGGTCATTGTTGAAAATTTTAAAGCGTTTGGCGAATATGCATGAATCACCATCCAAAGTTGTAGTTTAAAAACACTTATCTTTTCCATGTGTCAGATAAAAATCATGGGTCTACTCTCCAACCCTGCCCACTGTGACGGTCACGGACACAAGCTTGTTCTGTCCAGCTTCACTCCAACCCTGACAACCCTGATTAGAGCAACTACAAAGTGCGACTCCAACCCTTGTTGCGTCCAACCCTGGCAGCTGCCAACCCTGGAAGCGCCAACCCCGAGGTGTCCCTTCGGCAGGGCCATGGATGGTAGAAAAGCCTGAAGTGGCCCGGCCCTTCGTGTGTCCAACCCTGGTGGTTGACTCCAACCCTGGAAGGTGGCAACAGTGAAATGTGACTCCAACCTTTGATGTGTCCAACCCTGCTGGGCGCCAACCCTGGAATCACAACCTCAAGTGAGCTGAATTGCTCCTCCGCCGGCCATTTTCACAGTGCCCCACTTTATGCGTCAGAAATGTCAGAATCGCTCACATAGACCGTTTCATCTACAGCTTCATGCCTCGTCGCTTCAGAGGCTGCCCGCGAATGAGCTTTCTCAAGCACTTCGATAGGGTAACGTTCCTTGGCAAAAGCTTCCAGCTGCTGGCGCTCACTATCTCCCTTCTCTGCGTCACCTTCCTCACGCGTTTCCAGCTCCAC